CTGTTCAGTGAAGTAATAAGGATCAGTGTAAGTAGTGATGCTTTACTGATCTTGCTAATGAGGGAAAAAAATGAGCAGTATTCTCTTTGCCAAATGTTGTGGCATCAAGCTAAAATGCGGTTGTATTAAGCTAAAACCTTTTTCTGCAGTATTTTCCAGGAACTTTAATGCAGGCTTGGTTTTTAGTAGAATTTGGTGCAAATGATCTTGTTTATATCCACAAATTGCAAGCATGAAATCAGCTATTTAAGAGGCTTTTAAACTTCTAATATACTGTATTTCTAAGGGAGGACCTTCCATGATCCCTCTGCACTTGTGATCTTGCCCCAGTATGATGTTCTGTCAGACAAGTGTTATTAAGGAGTGCTTGCACGCTTGAACTGGACATTGCAAAGCAGCTCTGGTCCATCTGAAATGGAAAAATGCCATTTGCCTTGGTACACGTCTTACCCTTTTGCAGGTAACTGATCCAACTGCTGTGATTAAACTAGAGGACCATTAAACCGTAGTTATGATAATCACCCTCTTCGTGTTAGGGAAGAAAACATGTTAGATTAATAAACTTGATCAACCTCGAACCTAGAAAGTCCACAGCTCTTATTGGCAATAGTATCAAGAAATCAAGACTGGCTGAGATCCTCACTTGAGTGATTTTATTTTTATAACAGAACAGGCTAGATTTTCAGTCAGGCTCACCTGTGAAAAATGCCCAGACTGCAAATGTGGGAAGGAAAACAACATAACCCTGATCTCTACCTCCTCCTAAAATTACAGGTTTCTTCTCAAAAGTAAGTTTAGTTTCCCCTCCATTTTCAAAGAGCTTCTTTAGGGATGTCCCTGTCCTTACAAGATTCAGTCCTGTTCTGATTTTTTTTTCATAAGTACTTAAGATTTCCATCGCAATTTCAGAAGGGAGGTGGCATGGTATTGATGGTGGCCTGATCACTTTTTAATTAGGATAATAGCAATTCTTTTTTTCAGTCAGTTCATTTGTCGAGTGTTTTGGCATCATGTCCTCACCGGTGGCTTTTCAATACAGTGCCAAACAAATGAGATTTTGTAATCTCAGGCGAGTTCTGGGAATCGATTTAACATGGCTCCTGTTTGAAGTTAAAGGACGCTACACCTCTGACTTAAATCACGGTGCTGTAAGGTCAGCAGAGCTTCTAGAAATGTCCCTGTAAAGGTAGCAGAGTGATATACCTTTTGAGTACAGTATGGAATTTTGTTCTTATTTTATATCCTCTTAATCAGGATGGCACTCAGTCAGATGGAGAGACTATTAAAAGGGAGCTATCATGTTATCCAGCCACTTATATATGTTAGCAGGTTTCAAATTAATAATGTCTACTCAAGAAAAAGACCTGGGCTTTCCTGTGGTGAACTCAGCTTAGCACTCAGTTGTCAAAATAAATTCCCTACCTGTATAAAAAAAGGTTGCTAGGGCCTACAGTATGGTCTAATCTTCTGTTTGTATCACTACTCTTAAGTGTCAAAATGAGCTGTGGTTTTGCTTTCGGGGTTTTTTTGGTTTGTTTTTGGTGTGGTTTTTTTGGTGTTTTGTTTTTTTTTTTGTTTTGTTTTTTTCTTAGTACAAGGTCATCTTGTGGTGGTTCTACCATCTATTAGAAGAATTATAAAGCCTGTACATGCCTGGTACTCCAATTGGATGCAATAGTCTAAGTGAGGTTCTCAAAGACAGCATAATCAGTTTGGGTGGCATTATGGCATCATTTAGGAGTCACTGCATCTGAAAATGATAATGCAAAATTAGTGATATAAAAGCAATTGACCTGCCACTAAGTTTTGTATGGAGAGGGGGGAAAAAGGAGGGTCAAATAAGAACCTTTTGTTTAGACAAAGGCATAATGAATGAGGTAGAAACACAGCTTGAGCCCTCTGTCATTTTATCTCAAATATGAGAACGGGGATATTTCCCTTTTTTGTTTCACTTATTTCATTTTTCATTATCGTATGTGAATCTTTTAATTCTTTAATAAAAAAAAATCTCTAGTAAGCAGGAGTTGCTCACGAGAAATTAGCAATTTGCAAAGAAATCAGTCTGAACAAAGTCTGCAGTTAAAGTGCATACAGGTCTCTATGACTTTTACTGGAAAAAGTATTCCTTTTTCTAGTAAGGAAGCTTTCCTCTATGGATAGATATTCCTTGATGGTTCACCTTAGGGTTGTAAGCACCTTCCTCAAAGATCAGTTGCTAACTGCATCAGTTCTCTGAATACATTGCTAGGCCATGCCATTTGCCTCATTTCCTTCTGCCTAAGGCTCTCCTTTCGCTGTTACCCTGCCTGCGTTGTCTTGTCTCTTTCCAAGTGATGCTCTTGCTATGGATTAGCTGTGCTGTTGATGGTAAGATTGACGTGAAGTATGTTGAAGCCTAGAGCACCACCTCTTCTGAGCTTGAGGATTCCAATGACTTTCTTTCTTCTTTTGCTACCTGCATGTAGATAGTGTTAGATGACACTGCTTGAAATGTCCCTGAGCACAATGGTTCCAAAAAGCATTTGTTCTTATATATCAAATATGACAAGACCTATGAGTCAGAGCAAGTTTTGCTTCTACATCTTGCATGAAAAATACATTCGGGAATTGAAAACGTACTGTTTTTCCATCACCAAAAAGCATACAGAGTCTGTCGCTTCGCAAAGGGGTGCGTGCATGGGCCTAGCAATGTTGCTGCTTAACATACGTTAAAGGAGAACACCTGGGCGCTGAGAACTCATGTTCAGAGGGTTTTATCCTACCTCGAGTGCATAGCTTTTGTGCCACAGATGTGTTGAGACACAGATCTCTTGTGATTCTAGCTGGTTAAGAAAAGTTAAAATTAATGAGAATGCTGGTCATGCAGACACTGGCTAGACAAATGGTCTGTTTGCATATTTCCAGTTTTTCAAGGGAACATGTTTATCTTGTGGTTCTTTATAGATACAGTGAAAATAGGACACATGTAGATGAGTCTCTCTTCTTGCTCTCTTGGGAGGATTGTCATTACGTGTGACAAGGAACTTTGAAGTGTACAGATTCCTTGGAGGACTTGGCAGTGTAAAATGGACAGACGTGTGTATGCAAAACTGACATAACCTATTTTGCATTCCTTGCTAAAATAGACATTCCACTAACATTATCCACTTTCATTACTCTTTTTTTTTTTTTTTTCTTCCAGGGAAGTAACAGTACAAAAAGACAGTCTTTTGTATTCATTCAATCTTGTATTACTTTTGTATCAAAATTGCTTCATTTACTGATGCTGGAACTGGATGCTCAACTTGTGATGTACTCCTTGTAGGAAACACCTCAGCTCTGTAGTGAAAGTCTTTGAAATTGAGCTTTTGATAGTAGATTGAAATAAAACATGCTCTTAATGAATGGACAGTTCCATTCTGAAGAGTAGATGAGATAGTTTTTCCTTTATTGTAAGTGGCATCCTTTAACACCTGTATATTCTTGGAAGGAAGGAATAGCTGTGTAAGTTAGAGGCAAATTGACACAAGAAGTCTTGTTGAGTTGTGATGATAAAAAAAAAAAAAACAACTTTTAGATTTATTTTTGAGTTATGAGTACTTTGAAAATAAGTTATCAGTATTCACTGCTGTTATCAATATTGAATACATAGGTTGCTTTTCCAGAAAATACATTACTAGAGTGCCCTTCTAGTCTTATACGAGTTCATGTTAACTTTCCCTGAAGGAATGAACAAGTGCAAATAATCAACCTGATCCTCATACATGGAGAGAGATCTGTATTGTCATGGTGTTCAGACAGTTGTGGTTTTCTGTATAGGTTTATCTTTTTTGCTCTAAGTACATTGGAGGACTTCTAGTAAGTAAAATATTAATTCCCATTGCATTTTGTGAGTTTGTATCAACTGTTGGTAAATTACTAACACTTGGCTTTTCAGTTCTCTCTAGACTAGATATTCCTATCTATTGGCTTCTTATTGCCATGGTATCCAAGTACCTTTGTCAGTGATGCTTCTCTTCATAGTCTTGAGATTTCTTCCTTTTTAGGATCAAAGCCCTGCATTGTACTTCTGATTTTGTTCAGTTTGTATTTTTTTAATACTGTAGGTTTCACGTTTGCACAGTGGAAATAAGTTGCCTGAGTAAGAAATGCTGTGCAAGGAGTGAGGTATACTACTTTTAAGCTTTACAACCTTGACAACATTGTAAATCCTCACGGAACAGTTTTTGAAATCAGCTTTGCAAACTTTTTTCTTGGATAATCCTTATTAATGAGTGCAACGTATGTGCAGTCAAAATGTTCCATCCTTGAATGGGTGACCACAGCAAATTCTCTCTCCAAAGTGAGGTCAGGTAGTACGTTTAACTGATGTTAGTCTGATACATTAGTATCAGTGCATTCTGTATGGGAAAAAATAGCTAGCCTTAAAACAAGGTAAAACCGCACTGACTCTAAAAGACAATCTCATTATGCAGCAGTGGTAACAAAAATGAATGCCACCGTTAAACCCTAGCATAAATCTCCAGTTCGTGCTGATCTTGGAGACCTTGAAATCCCATCTGATTTGTTATTTTGAGGCCATAGCTGTTCGGAAACAGCTTTGTGCTTGCTTTGTAATTGCTCTTTATCAGGCAATTGCTTCCATTTCATAACCACAGAGTTGGTTCTACATGCTGACTTTAAGCTTCCAAATGATCAGCAATTTGACATGTGACATTAAGTGGTTGACCTTTAGTGGGTAAAGAGGAAAAGCTAATAATTCCCAGTGTTTACAGCACTGATTTTAGCGTGATATTGCTTCTCTCCATCTAACTTGCATCTTCAACCACTGTCGTAAATTTTTTCAAGTCTAAAAGCAAATCGTTAAAGCACACAAGCTTTGATGCTATGTGGATGCAATGTTTTGCACTGTGGGTAATCCTTTTATCATAGTGCCACTCTTTCATCCCTAAAATGACATGCAAGCCTCTGTTAAAACATAGGCTCTCTAATCTTTGCCTTCCTTATTGTGTTTTTTGTAGGGGTACAAGCCTGTCTACAAACCACAGTACGAGAACAAGAAGAGAAGTATGAAATCCAAGGTGGCCCACAAAGAGGCCGGCTCAACAGAGAACAGCTGGTGGGTTTTATTGCTTGAGACAGATTGTCTTAATGACCTTGGGTTCATGCATTTTTGCCCTTTGCCACATGGGCAGGTGCAGCAGATGTGAAATTTTAATGGGGTCTTGTACAGAAATTTGATTATGTGCAAGGTGACCAAAAGAACTGTGAACACCCATAAAACTGTCATTTTTCTCTCTTACTGGATATGTTATTATAACCTTGTCACAGGGAATGCTGCATTACATTCATGGGAGAAGCCGTATGGGACAGGAAGTGAACCTGCTTTTGCTTTCCCTGCTCAGCTTTTAGAACCTAGTTGAAATTACCTGAAAGTTGAAAGAAAAGATGTTTTTATTACTTCTTTTTTACATATAGGGCCACTTTTATATTTATCTGGGTTATTTCTGGTTACTTTCTGGATTATGCTGGAGAAGCTCATTAGATATATCGTAACAGTAGCTGTAAATATTCCTAGCTCATAGTTAAACTCTGTTGTCTTGGAAAATATTTAAACATAAGCAAGAATTTACAAGCAAGCTTGTCTTGATTGCATACCTATACTGAGGGCCTTGCATGTTAAGTTAGGGTTCTAGCTTCCACTGTTGGTTATTTTAAATTCTAGTTTTTGATAGGCACTGGTTGTTCCTTTCCACTTTTTTTTCCTGTGTGCTCAGTTGTGAAGTATTTCTACTTTTTTTTTTTCCTACTTCCACTTAGCTGCCTAAGTTGTTTGATGGATGCTACTTCTATTTTTTGGGATCTTTCAACCGTCACCAGAAGAGTGATCTTGTGGAGCTGGTCAAAGCAGCAGGAGGACAAATTCTGGTTAGGCAGCCCAAACCAGACAGCGATGTGACGCAGACAATCAACACAGTGGCTTACCATGCGGAATCTACTTCTGACCAGAGATTTTGCACTCAATATGTAATCTACGATGTGTCTTCTAAATTCAAGCCGGAGAAAATTCGTCAGGGCAAAGTCTGGATGGCCCCCTCCAGCTGGCTTATAGACTGTGCGATGTCATTTCAGCTCCTGCCTGTAAAATAAATATCAGTGTCTCACCAGGAAGGTTTTGAAATGTGGTGAATCTTGAGCGGTTGGAACACTCTGGTAAATACTGTTCTGAAGCTATGATTTATGTTTTGCACTTAGGAATACAGGAGAGCTTTGACCATTTAAATGAGTTACTAAGTTCACTGATACGCTGGAATAAATGAACTTGCAGTGGAGGAGAGAGATAAATATACTGCATTGAAAAGTGTGCCCTGCGTTATTTAGCGTGTTTTATTTTTGCATTTAACTTGTGTAATAATGACTGACATTTTGCAACTAAGATTTTGCAAAATTAAACCTTTTGCATTCTTGATTTTTAAACCAGCCATTCCTAGGTGACAGTGACTCCATTTCTTTTCTGCTTAGTATCCATTGACAGGAATCTACTGTATGTGTCAAGATTTCCCAGCCAGGAATTGGTATTTTTTAAAAAAAAGGACTCTCTGCATTTGAACCTAGTCATTTGCCTGTATAGACATCTCTTCTGTCAGACAACATGTGGTGTCTCAACTTCTTACAACTGAATTTTGCAGGAAATTCTTGGCACGGCATAAGCCTTGTAGAAGTTAGAGTAGAGCTAGTGGCCTGAATTCATTTGAAAGCAGACCATTTTGAAAACACTGTCTTTGAAAATCTTGCTCTGAAATTCCTTATTTGTAGCAAGAGTAATGCTTATTCACCTCTGTCTTCTTCCACACTTGTAAAATTGTAACTCGAATTAGATTCTCTTTTCTGAAGGTTTCCAAGCGTCAGGATCCTTATTAAATTATTAAAAAAACAAATATTTCTGTAAGTATGGATGGTTGCTGTCATGATTACATTAATGAAAAAATTGAATGATCACAAAAACATTATGCCTCACTTTGCACAATTGTACTTAAACTTAGCTGGCTGCATTGGAGCAATACTTGATTCCTTCATATTTGTTAGAATAAATTTTTAATTTGTTCCTAATACTTGATCATAAATTGTTGGAATCTTACTTCCTTACCCTGTGCTCTTGTATAATACCTTGCATCTTTTGCATTGCCTTAGTTTGTAAACTCATAATTTAAAAATGGTGTCTTGTAATAATATACGATGAGAATGATAGCTGTGGGATAAAACAAAGTTTCTTGTGCTTGCTTTTGTATCGCTTGTAATAATAAAACCTCTGGTGCCAGTAAGTTAGGAGTATGTTATTGTGTGAGCTTAGCTGCAGAGTAAGAACATAGTGCATATGTATCTTAACAGGGAAATGGAAGGTAAGTACTTTTTCTGTGAACTTGATACAGCTGTGAAGACAGCATATCCACCTGCCAGAGCCGCGCTTCAGTGACAGACAGTTGTTTTCTTTAACCATTGCCATCGGAGATCCTATGCCAATTTTCAATATGCTCTATAGAACTAGAATTATACACTTTATGTATAGCAGGGATAGTTTTCAGTAGCATCTGCTAGACTTCAGTAGCTGGGTTATCTTGATCTATCGCTTAAGCTAGACTGAGTCTTTGCTCTTCACTAAATGCAGTTCTCAAGTACTTGCATGTCTGTGTGAGTGAGCAAAAATGCAAGGTTTATTAATAAATGGAACAACCCAGGGGATGAATGTGGTTTGGGTTTTTGTGCAGATAAACACTGGCGGCAAATAAGCCACTGAGTCGATACTGCATGGACTCGGTCATTTATTTTAACAATTGTAGCACAATTTAACTTGGCATTGCATAGCACATCAATATACCTAATGCAGTATTCTTTGCAGTAGTGGCAGTGAATCTCAGCAGAATTCTTAAGAGTAGAGATTTTCTGCTGTGTACCTGGAGGAAATCTGGCCCATTAGTAATCCTGTTCTATATCCTAAAGTAGAGGGATCAGATCTACAGATTTTAAGAGCTGTTGTTCCCTGGCAGCTGAAAAAGTCTCTTAGCAAATAGCCGTCAATTTATTTTAATTTTTCTTTAAGCAACACTGAACTTTTCCTAAGGTCCTATTCCTTTGACTCAAGTTGTGTTTTAAAGCAGGGTTACTATGAAATCACATCAAGAATCCTTCCATATCATACTGAGGAGCGATCCTCACCCTTCTAGTTACACTGCACTCAGCATCAGCTCTGTCCCATCTCCTTCGGGTCTCTTTGGGAATTCAGAGCTCAAGGGTGATCAACTTATGAAGACTTCAGCACTTCAAGAGCCTCACAGAACTCTGGTAAGTCGACTTTGATGCCAAAACTGCAGCAATAGGTAAGTACACAAAAGCTAGAGGCCAGTGACACAGACCCTGCTTAATTCACTCTTGCTGATCATTAAAAGCAGAGGGATAGCATTTGATAAAACATGTCTAAAAAAAAAGTCTTGTAGTAAGGATAAATCAAGGCCCTTAATCTATTGGATGGATTTTGTCTCATGAACGCAAAGTTATAAAATCACGAGGCACGTGGGTGTGTAGGGATCATTTCTCACTGTCTCTTCTAGTTCAAGAACAAGGGTGCATTCAAGGAAGCTAGTAGGAGGCAGGCTCCAAAATAGAAGAGATATTTCATGCAGTGTGAGCAGACTTGCACTGACAGCCATAGCCTGTTTTTGGGTGCTGGGTGTTTTGGCGTAGTCTGAAGCAGGGAGTAGATGATTTCATCAAAGAAAATCTGTTAAGGGTTAGTAAAGATCCTCAGCCATAACATGACTTTGCACTTTAGCAGAATACTAATACATAAATGTGCACTGATGATTGGGGCATTTGAGGACATAAAGTTTAAAACTTGGCTTCTGGATTACAGATGGTTTTATTAATCTTGTATTTATACCTCAAAAATACTGTGAATCTCAAAGTCTAATGATTTTCAGGCAGCTTCCCTTGGAACTGAGATCTGTTTATCTCCTTATGTATTAGTTCATCTGCAACACCTGGTAACACCTTCAGTAGTGATGTCTGGAGTTCAGTGGCATCAGTTTAATATCACTAATAGTTAACAGAACAAAAAAAAAATTGATAGATAGTGTATAATCTTTTTAATGGCTGTGGTCCAAGGGAGAATATATAAAGCTGGGTTGGTTTGTTTGTTTACTTTTTCAATTTGTTTCTTGTGGGGTTTTTGAGTTTGTTTTGTGGTACTTGAGAGTGTGGAGGTTGCTTCCTTGCATTGCTGTCCTGGATGGATCCCAGAGAACATAGTGATAGATTAGCTCATAGTTTTGATTTTCTACCTGTATTTGGTTACTTGTTTTCAAAGATCTCATAGGTTTTTCTTATCCCTAAAATATCAGTAGTTCTCTTTAGACTTGGTTCCTCCAGCTATAAGATAAAATCCGTTCTCTGTTGCTGAACATTGAGGATTCATTTGTTATTTGAGATGCTCAGAAGTGACTTTTCTGAGGTAGAAGCCAGTGGCCCACAAAAAAGAACTTATTAGAGCAGCTCAGGAGAGCTAGATGCTGCGTTATTTCTGAGAGTGTTTTAAGGAACCAACAGGCAAATGAGTAATACCAAACAGTGGTAGCTGCTTTTGGTCTGAAAGAAGAGTTGGCACACCCAGGAGGTGCTCTGGGTCTGTCGTCACAAAGTCCTCTTCCCAAGGAGGAACAAGCATGTGAGGGTCCCAAGGCTTGCATCTCTTTAACAATAAAGATGTTAAGTGCAAGTTAACTGCTGACCCAGCTGGCCTCTGTGCAGCCTTTGTCAGGCTTGAAGGAAGGCCCCTCTCTGCTGCTTTATTGCAAGCTGCTGAGCTGAGGTTGGACCTGACCAGGTGTGTGGGACCTGTCACAAAGTTAGTCACGATCAGCCTGGGCAGTATTTGGGCAGTCAGATGGTATTGGCTAAGAAATGGGCAGTAGTGTCTCAGGTGGAACAAATGAAGATTCAACTGGTTTCAATAGCAGTGCAGCATGTTCTGTCTTTCCAGAGCTGTTTGACTTAAATTAACGGTAGCTTAATTCATGTTAAATTGCCCTTAAAAGCAGAAGAACATTTTGTATGTAATCAGATAGGGGAAGGGGAGGAAGGCTCCCACCTTTTTTTTTTTTTTTTTTTTTACCTTTTCCTATGGAGAAGATGCATTTTCTGTGCTTCAATTTAATTCCTGGCAGGAGGGCCAGCCTGACGCAGAGAAACGCCAGCTCCCCGCTGCGTGGTTGAGACACTGGTGTCATTCACCGAGCCGAGCGGAGATGCTGAGGCAGGGACAGGCAACAGGATGGCTGGTGCCTGTGGTTCTGTTAAGCGGCAGTGGTTGCTATGTCTGGCTCCGGTGGATGTTGGAAGCGTTGTGCATCGCAGCTGGGAGGAGAGAACCGTGCTGTGCCATGGTTAGCTGCAAGCACCGTGTCCGCCCTGGGCGTCCAAGTGTGTTTAAGAAGCAGAGAGAGGTTTCTTCTCTACTGGGCACAGCTGTAAAGCACAGCAGCCCTTTCTTAGGTCTGACTTTACTGTGGGGCTTATTTCTATGCAGCTGCACCGAGGGTGCTGACAAGCAGTGCTGTGCCATGGTGTGCGCTGTGCAAACATGTGCGGTACTTGCCTCTGTAAGTCCATAAGCTAAACAGATGCAGGGTGAGGCGGGGTTAAAAATATACATAAAAAAAATAGGATGTGAAGTGACAGCTAAGCTGGCTGTCTTGCTCAGCTTGCTGAACGGATAAAAATGTACTTTTTCTTCAGCTAGTGTGGGACTGGGTTACTTTCCTCCTAGTTTTGCAAACTACTGATTCTCAGAGGAGTCCAAGTATTTGGTGGGGGAGCAGGTGTGAGACTGCCTCTGCTGGCAGCCGTCAGCTGGGTCTCCATTGTGATATGAAGGCCTTGGAGAGTGAGGTTTTGTGATTGCCCTATGCGGTCATGCACTCCACGCTCCCCTGAGGGGGTCCCAGCCTCCCTGCTGGGTTCATACTGGGTGCTAGTGGCAGCCTGACCAGCAAAATGGGTCTCTGCTGGAAGGCTCAGCTTCGAACAGCTGGTGCCAGGAGAAACCCAGACCAGCTACAGTTCCAGTCCAGCTGGAATGCTCGGTTTGTAGCAAAATT